CACACACACACACACAAACATTGTGTATGTGTGCCAGCCCTTTAACACACAGCCTTTGCATGCTCAGGTGTTTCCCACAGCACCCTATAATGGTCTGAGTTCACCAGGGTGGGACACCAACAGGTGGCGCTGTTTTCTTTACTAATTACAGCTTTATTTATTCATTGGCATGTGAAAGCTTCCAGATGACTTTGGCTGGCCTGCTCATTTACAGGATAAAAGCCAACGTGTGTGTGTGTGTCGATGAGGTGTGTTTCCATGATGCTTTCTTTCTCCTTTTGCGCGACCACAAAAACCAATCCACGCTGCCCTCTTAGTACTCTTATACCTTGCAGTATTTTCCAAATTTCTTTCTATGAGTATTTTTTGGAGCAAAATGAATTATGTTAGATGATATTGTGCCATCTATAACTTATGCCGGTTCCTGAGCTAATGGTGCATTAATGAACTCGCAGGTAGACAGGTAGAGTCATATCTAAGTGATAGAACCATAATGTGTTGCTTACAACGATACTGTATCTTCCTCTTCTACGGTTAAATACGGAGTGTGCACATGCTGCCACTTGGTCACATAATCAAAAAAACAACAACATAGTTTGAGAAAGGGTTAGTTTGTCAGAAGTTAATTGCTGGATGTGTAACAACTTCCTATATTTAATTGTCCAGAAGACAAATACATGGTTTGACTGAAGCTCATTTAAATCATCTTGTGTCCTCTTTTTCTGCAATGGTTTAATGACACTCAACTAGAAAATTTGCCTCACCAGCTGTTTATCTTGAACTTCTAACATTCACATAATGGCAGTGGATGGAAACACACATTAAGTGGCATTTTCTTTTGGCAATTTTCTGTAAACTTGTTTAAATTTGTGCTACATTTGGATGGAAACCTGGCTGATGACAAACTCTATCAAGATAATAGCAAACACATCCAGATACAGAGTAACATTATCATTCATTTAGACATGAGTCATGTTTGCCAACATAGAAAAATTGGACTTACATTCTTCTGCCACCTGAAGAATCTATGTCCAATATTCACTCTCCTTTTAGCTCTGTTTTTAATCTCCACTAACCAACAAGAAAAATATCTGGCTCTTTAGCTGCTCCACGAGCTAGCTGCTAACTATATCTGTCTGCTGTTTGGTGCTGAGCAAGTAACATAAAGATTTTTTTTAAATGAAAAAAGCTTCCATCTGTGGTGGGAAAAGATTCTATAAAACCCTTTAGACTGAACTAAAACAGTAAAGTCACAATCTAGAAAAGCAAAGCAAAGGGTTGAATATTGCTATAATGTGGGTGGCTTTTGTTAATATAATAATATTCACTATAGCAGCTTTAACTTTTTTAATTGATTTAACCTTAATCCTATTGTTATATTAACATTCTTACTGTTTGTGTTTATTTGTACATGTGAGATCTTATAGTGTGTCTGATGTTTATATTTTAACCTGTAAAGGTAGAAGAGAAGTATTCTATTGTGTATGTGGGAACTTCTGTTCTCCTTCACTTTCTCTGATTACTGTCAATCCATAAACTGTCCAACATTCAAACTTTTCCTTGTCAAGTTTACTTCACGTTTCAAGATCCTTGGAGACAGAGTGAGTCAGTGAGTCTCCTGATACTGTGGTGTGTTGTAGCACAGAGACAGAGACACCGCCATGGACCAGACCCTATCATAGCTCCCCTTCTGTCAACCCATTATCTTTCTCCCACATGCTCCTCTTCCTTTTCTCCCCTTTCCCTCCCCTTACCTTCCTCTGGATGTTATCTCCAGCCGCTTATGCCCTAATACCCCAATTGTTGTACTCTAAAAACAATAATTAGCAATCCC